TATATATAATCAAACATTTTTCTGAACTTTCTGAATATGAAGAGGAAAGAAGAATTAAACTACTCACTATCAAAAGAATACAGTATGAACACCAAACACTTTGTTGCTTAAAATCTACTTACTTTTTAAAAACAATACCTATAAATTATAAAGAAATGAAACAATAAAAAATAATGAAAAGGAGAAAGGGGAAAGACCACAAGGCCTAAACCCTACAAAAAGAACTACAGGAAATACAGGAATGCTGAGAATGGGAGAAAGAGTCATTTCCAAGAAAGAATACACTAAATGTTTATCCAATACCAAATGGTCAGCCATGAAAACTAATACACGAGTGATATATTATACTGACTGAGCAGGTTATATTTAGGGATATCCATGCAGTAACAGTTAATGACAAAAACATAGGTCATGAATTTGAAAGAAAGCAAGGAGGGATACATGGTTAGTTTGGAAGGAGGAAGGGGAAGAAGGAGGAGAGAAGTGATATAATTATATTATAGTCTCAAAAATAAAATTAAAACTCTCCTATTTTGTTCTCTATGCCTAAGTAATCTGTCAGTGTTTGATACTAGTTTTTCTCTTCTAACAGTCTTTTGTTTTACTCAAAATACCTTTATGTTTTTGTTAGATAATTCTTATCATTTACTTATTTAATTTGTGTGGGTGTTTTGTCAACATGTATACTTTAGTAAAATGGGTTTTGTTTGTTGTAGTGGTATAGTTTCAAATACTTATTGCTTTGGGTATCATATGTTTTAAGACACTGAAAAGTTCAAAACCACAAAAAGCCAATAGATAATAATTGGAAACTAATCAGTATTAAAGTGACAATATCTTTACTATTAGTGTGACAATATCTTACTCTACTTAAAATAGGATCTTGATCTCTCTTCTGGGACACTAGTAGAGTGGGAATGTTAATTATTCTATTGTACTATTTTTCTTATATATGCTCAGAAAAAATTCAAGTTTATTTTGCATCAATTATGTCATACCACTACTCTTATTATTAAAGTCCTAAAATGACTTTCAAGTCAATCAAACAGTAATGATTAAAATAGACAATATTTTTTAGTTTTTATATTTCCATGGATAGTATTTTCTAGTAATACTTCCTATATTGTGAAAATTCTACCCAATAAATTATTTCCTATAGCTTAGGGCATTATTTAAGATTATTACTAAATATATTAAGAAAAATTTGTTTACTATTCTTCAAGTTCAACAAGTAAATTACTTTAGTAACCTTCTCCTATTGTTACAGCTAGAATTAACAATTCTCTTATGCAACTAGAACAGGTATCTTAGATTTCTTCACTATCATATATTATGTTGTAATATCATATCAGAAGCTCTGTGAGAAAAGAAACACCCAGTAGACTATTTTATGTATTCTAAGGCTTCTGTCTTACATGCATAGTAAATATCTCAAGGGGGGGGAGCAGGCTCACTGCAAGTAATACAGACTGAGAGGACCAAGACACACCTTCTGGTTTGGGGCAAGGGAAGTCAATATGGGACTGACTATTAATGTTTCTTGTTTTTAATGTTTCCATTTCCCACATTGAGTCCAAATTTTTAACCATACTATAGGCACTCTTATGGAATTTATTATGCTCCACACAATAAATTTCTTCTGAGAAAACAAAAGGAGAATCACAAAAAGAGAGTTAGGAGTTCTGTATCAAGAACTGTAATCAAAGAGCAAAACAAAACATTTCCCCAGAACCCCTATATATAAGGATTTTAGACTTCTATGCCAAGGGCCTAGGCATAGAATTGGCCTCTCTCTGTGTCTCTCAGTTCTTCTAATTATGTATTTGTATGTATCCTACAATATAACGATATCATAATTTTTGTCTCAATATACAGGTTAAACAAAGTGGCATTTGCTTTACTACATTCCTAGCTCCCAGCAAGATACATAGCACAAAGTAATCATAGACTTTAAATAGTTGCGTCAAAGAAGCCAAGATTAATAAATAGTTATTGAAAAAGTCAATATGCCATAAAAAGACATTAATTTCAACAGTTGGACTCTGAAACAGAAATGGAAGAGACTCTGAGGTAGCTTTTCCTATCAGTGGGAAAATAAAGATAAAACTTAAAAATGATGCTGGGGCAATTGGAAAAAAATGCTAAAATTATATCTTTAATTTGCCTAGCAGAAAATACACAAATGAACAAAAGTTTAAATGAAAAAAGTGAAAATGCTATGAAAACAAAAATTTTAATATAATGTTTAAATAGTAGTTGGTAAGTATTTCTGCTCTTTGAGTAGCACACCCTCCTGAATTTACTACTTACTCTATTGTAAAAATTATGAACATTACTAATTTCCTTTTGTAACAGGCATTACTTCAAAGAATACATAGAATTTGATTAAGTATAGCACCACTACCTAATGTCATTGTATCACAGTATTATTGTTTTAAATAACATACTCTACCAAAAAGAAATTTCCTAAGATAAAATACTTTACTAAGGTTTTTCCCTTATACTCAAAGATGATTATCCAGATTTATGAATTCACAGGATTTCCTCTAAAAAGTACTTAATACAAAAATTGTATTACTTGATGCAATACGATTTTCTCTTCATCTTGACAACTGAACTCTTTTAGAATCATTCATTCAAGTGAGAAATATTTATCTACTAACTGTAACTAAGAGTTAAAGGGTTAACTCATTAAAATTAGGAATGTTGCTCAGTAAAGACACTTTTCAGAGAGTAAAAAAGGAAGGACGGTGGAGATACATTTGTATAGTACATGTATCAGAGGACTTGTATTCAGGACTAGGTACACCTGCTAATAAATGAGGACAGGACAGATAAATCTATTGTTTATGAAAAGCACTAAACACAGGTACATCACAAATGAAGATAAGTAAATGGCCAAGAAGAATTATACAATGATACTCAACAGGCTTACTCACTACTGTTAGAATGTAAAGCAAACT